TTTTTTGACCAAAAAAAGGAAACATTTTATTCAGTTTTTTCTGAATAAAGTTTCTATTAATTGAATGATAAATTGTAAAGTATTTGAAATTAATGACAAAATTGTTTGGTTGGTTGAATAAGACACACAAATTGGTGTAATTGTAGAGTTAACTGTGAATTGCTATTATTATATTCATTCATATTCATCTAGATCATTATTTTTCGTTTGATTTTAATTCACTTTTTATCACCATCACCATCATCAGAACCATCATCAGCAACATCATCATAATCATTGTAATCATCTTCATCTTAACCATAATTTTCATGATAATTCTCATCTTTTTCATTTCAACATTTCATTGAAACTGACCAAACCCAATCTCATTGTGAGTCTTTCATTTGTAAAAGTTAATTGAGTTAACTATATTTAAGGACACAATCAAATAGCGATATCAATCTGAGTTGAGTTGAGTTCATTTTAATTGTATTCAATGGTTCGTTGAATTTAAAATCTGATTAATTTTTGCATTAATTCACTTTAACCACAGTTCCTTAATCAACAAACCAACTCAACCATTTTGGTCAAACTTTTTCATGTAGATTCGTTTTAATGAAAATCACCTTTTTAATAACAATTATCTTTAATCAATTACAGAGCGTGAATATCGTTGTTTAGGGAACTGGGAAGAAGACGGAATCCTTTATACATTCACTCAACGCAGAGACGCAACTGGATATCAATGCTTTGTAAGTATCATCAACTGATTATTGTTAAATTATTAGTTGATTGGAAATCAATTGAAATATAAAACTCTTACAATAACATAATATTAACTCTTGCAATTTATGATCACATTTAGGCTGGTAAAATCTTGGGCAATGGTGAAGTTGCTTACATCAGAGAAGCTGGTGAAAATTGTATTCGAGCTGAACATCCATTAACTGTTGGAATGAAAATCACAAAGCAAGGTAATTACTAATTAGATTGATAATCAAATAAAATAACCATTTGCAAGTGAACGGTTCACTTATTTCAAGTTCAATGAAATGGCGGAAATGATGAGCTTCATTCAATGTTAATCATTTTCAATTGTAAATGAAAATTTTAAATGAATCCAATTTTAAACTAGAAATGACTTGTTCCCAAAGACCCATTAACCAGTTAACATATAATCACTCATCATCCTGCCAATTGATCTTGATCAATATAAAAGTCACATTTGATTATCCATTAATTCATCTTAATTTCTTCATTGTATTCAACAATTATCTTTACTTTTCATTATTAGTGGCTTGTCAACGGATCATTACAACGACAAAAGCTCCTTGGCCTTTAAGGACTGATAGGATATACCAAGTGCACAAAGCTCAGCCATCATTTCAACCAGCACTAAGAACTGTTTCGACTAAACCGATAGCTCAACCTTTACCTCATCATATTCCTCGTCCAATTCAGTCCATGTTGGGATTCAATGACAACAACCCTCATTGGTACCAATCTGATCCTCCAGCTAAAAAGATATGGAAACCTGCTTCAAGTAAGTTACCTTAACAATCACAAT